TGTATATATATATATATATATATATGAAGGCATTTCAAACCCTCCCCACACTCTTGCAATATTCTAAACGATGTTTCTAAACTCTAAGTGCTCTAAAAGAGCACAGAATGTCAAGAGTTCAGCTCTCTGCCTCACCACCTGCAAGCTCTCTTGGCCACGCCCACTTCTCTGCTTTGCATGGAGATCAGCTGCTGCAGGAGGACGCATATCCTGCAGTGTGGGCTGCAAAAAGGTGCAGCAGGTGCTAAATAATTTTAAATAATGTATTTTAAATAAAAATTCCATGCCGATCGTGTGGCTCATCCATCAATCAGCCAATTGTGTGTCATGCGCAATCTTATTTTGAAAAACCGTAATAGAGTGAGACCGCGATAAACAAACCATAAAGTAGCAAGGGACTACTCTATGTAGTTACATAGTATAGCCCACAGCTTCCTGTGGGCCCTCCACCTGCAGGAGGAGTGCATCTTCCATGAGTATGGGATTGTGGGCCCGTTGTTATAGGCTGTTCAGTCCCTATACAAACGGTGCAAGAATTTGGTTCACAGTGCCGGTAGTAAGTCGGACCCTTTCAGGGTGGGAATTGGACTCTGCCAGGGCTGCCCGTTGTCACCAATTCTGTTCATAACTTTTATGGACAGAATTTCTCAGTGCAGCAAGGGGGTGGAGGGATTCTGGTTCGGTGGCCTCAGGATTCCATCTCTGCTCTTTGTAGATGATGTGGTCCTGTTGGTGTCATCGTGTCGTGATCTTCAGCTCTCACTGGAGCAGTTCGCAGCTGAGTGTGAAGCAGCTGGGATGAGAATTAGCACCTCCAAATTTGAGGTCATGGTCCTCAACTGGAAAAGGGTAGATTGCTCTCTTCAGGTCAAGGGTGTGGTTCTGCCTCAAGTGGAGGAGTTCAAGTATCTTGGGGTCTTGTTCACGAGTGAGGTAAGAATGGAGAGTGAGACTGACAGACGGATTGGTGCAGCATCTGCAGTTTTGGTGAAGAGGGAGCCGAGCTGTAAGGTAATGCTCTCTGTTTACCTGTTGGTCTACGTTCCTACCCTCACCTATGGTCACAAGCTCTGAGTAGTGAATGAAAGAATGGGATCATGGATACAGGTGGTTGAAATGAGTTTCTTCCACAGGGTAGTTGGACTCTCCCTTAGAGATAGTGAGAGAAGTTCAGTTATCTGGGAGAGACTCAGAGTAGAACCGCTGTTCCTCCACATCAAGAGGAGCCAGTTGAGGAGGTTCGGGAATCTGGTAAGGATGCTTCCTGGGCGCATCCCTAGGGAGGTGCTTCGGACATGTCCAACTGGGAGGAGACCCCAGGGAAGACCCAGGACACGCTGGAGAGTCTATGGCTCTCAGTTGGCCTGGGAACGCCTTGGAATCCTTCCAGAAGAGCTGGAAGAGGTGGCTGTAGAAAGAGATGTCTGGGCCTCCCTGCTCAAGCTGCTGCCCCTGTGACCCGACTTCGGAACAAACAGAAGATAATGGATGGATGGATAGATAGTATAGTTTCGCCAAAGGAGCGCCAGCATCCCTCCATGGGACACAACTCCTTTTATTAACATGTGCATGTAACATGCCAAACATTGTGCCTCAAGTTAGAGAGGCCAGACTGAGATGGTTTGGACAAGTCCAGAGGAGGGACAGTGGTTTAGACGTATAAATGATAAATGGACAGTACTTAAATAGTGCCTTTCTATCTTATGAAGACACTCAAAGCGCTTTACACTACAATCTGTGCCCTCATACCCATTCACACAGCACTCTACTAGATCTCTACAAAGCTAACTGAACAAATCATTCTAATGAGACTAATCAGTACTTTTAGATCACATTCATACACTGATGGGACACACAACAGAGGCAACGAGGGGTTCAGTGTCTTGCCCAGGGACAATTGAGCGTGTGACTGCTGGTGGATTCGAATCCCCAACTCTTGCATTGGAGGACGACTGCTCTAACCCCTCAGCCACAGCCGCCCATGTCCAGAGGAGGGACAGTGGTTTGAACATGTCCAGAGGAGGGATAGTGGTTTGGACATGTCCAGAGGAGGGACAGTGGTTTAGACATGTCCAGAGGAGGGACAGTGGTTTGGACATGTCCAGATGAGGTACCTATGGTTGGACATGTCCAGAGGAGGGACAGTGGTTTGGACATGTCCAAAAAAAAGACAGAGGAAGGCCAAAGAGGAGATATATATGGATGCAGTTAGAGAGGACATGGAGGTAGTTGGAGTGAGGACAGAGAATGCAGAGGACAGAGTGAGATGGAGGAGAATGACTCACTGTGGCAACCCCTGAAGAAGGAAAAGCTAAATGAAGATTTGTCAGAGTGGTTGACCTTTTGTGTTGTTTTCAGAGCTTCAACTTCCTGAGTTAACTTGTCAGAAAGTTCCTTCAGCTTTTCTTTGTAGTTCATGTCCTTCAGACAGAGCTGGTACTCATTCTCCATCAACAGCTCTTCTAGACGCATCTTCAGCTCCAACATGTACTGGTTCTGAAAATTTGACAAACAAGAACAAAAACATGGGCAACGAGTTGGAAAAAAATGTCAAAGTACTTATCATCTGCCATCAAAAGGCAAAGACAGACAATAATGTGTGTGTGTGTGTGTGTGTGTGTGTGTGTGTGTGTGTGCATGTTCAGTTTGGTTTCAGGTTACATTGTGGGGACCAATTTAGCAAAAAATCCTACATTGTGAGGACCAACTGCTCATTGTGGGGACCAAAGCCTGGTTCCCATAAGAATGTGTCGTTGATGGGTTAGGGGTTAGTTTTAGGATTAAGGTGTGAATTGAGGATGGGTTAGAGTTAGGGTTAGGCATGTACTGGTAATGGTTAGAGTTAGGGTTAGGCATGTACTGGTAATGGTTAGAGTTAGGGTTAGGCATGTACTGGTAATGGTTAGAGTTAGGGTAAGCGTCAGGATTAGGCTATAGAAAATGAATGGAAGTCAATGCAAAGTTCACACAGTCAGAAAGACAGACGTGCGTGTGTGCACGTGCGTGTGTGTGTGTGTGTGTGTGTGTGTGTGTGAGAGAGAGAGAGAGAGAGAGAGAGAGAGAGAGAGAGAGAGAGAATCTGTTAACAAAATATTTCATGAAACTCCTGAACTGTTATCATTGTATATATAGATACACAGTGAATACGTTTTCAAGATGGCTTCTACCACCAACTGACCTGAAAACCAAAAATGTACAGAGCTCAACAAATTTCACAGAAATTTTGTATGGTAGTAGACAATAATGATCCCCGACACACATTTTGAGCA